GGAAGGAACGAGAGAGTCAGAGTTGCCGAAAAGTGAATCGAGGGAACATTTGGGAAGATCACAAAATGTTCTGATAAGCTGCCAACCCAACTAAAGTTGTTCCCAAGGAAGTATAACTCCTTCCTGAAAGCAAATGCAGCTGCTGAGGGCCGAGTTAGAAAGCCAAAATGGAGATGGAGAAATAAGAGAGAGGCCGTTGAAGGGAAACACATTTGCAAAACTGCGAAGAACATGGAGGGAGGGAAATCAGAAGGTGAGTTCTGTAGCCTTTAAGCTTGCTAAGAAATCACAGAATGTTTAGCAGCTGTTGGAGAGTCAAAGCAACATCCATACAGCCCAAAAGCCAGAGGAAGGGCAGGGTGTTAGCCCTTCGAGGTCATCCAGGCAAGAAGCACACTTATGAGTACTAACTCTATCTTTAGTGTAAGGGTACATTAACAGAATCTTGCAAGACTGAAAATATTTCTCCTCTCCTCTCCTCTCCTTTTACTCTCCGGAAAACTAGGGAGGGTCCCTTCGGAAACGCTTCCCATGCCTCGTCTCCTTTTGTGGACTGAGATATCATTTACATGCCGATTGTCCTGTCTGCAGCTCTCCCTCCTGTCTCCCAAGGTCATTCCCACAGACCATTACAGATGGAATAGCATATCCTAGAAAAGGGCAGGACTGGTGTCATCCTGTGGCAACCATCATTTCAGGAAACATGTGTGTTTCTGTTTCTGAAATTCCAGAAAATTTTAGAGAATGCTGAGATACTAAAGGAAATGACTAATTAGAACCAGAAAGTAATAAGGCAGTGACAACTTATTGATGCTCATATCATCCAGACAGCCTGCTTATCATCATACTTTGGATGGGAAAGGGGCATAGATAGGAGGTAGACAAATAAAGGCTGGAATTTTGCAGGGAACATGATGAGTGGGTTGGCTCAGGGGCATCTACTGGATATGATCTGTGATGCCAGTTAGATCTACTGGATCTCCAGTGGATGAGTCTTTTTTGTTCTTTTCAAAGTGAATTTTACATTAGAAACATAATGTAAAGTTAGACATGCACCACTTTACTCCATGGGGTGGGACATTCTTTTGCAGCAGTGTTTTTCAAACTTGACATCTGAAAAATAAGCAAACACTGAACTGTCTTTGGAATCGAATCCTTCTTTTCTTATTGCAGCCTCTTCCCAATGAGCATTGCTTTGCTTTTAAAAAAAAACACATGTCTGGGAACGTGCAGGTATCTTGTCATTTCCCCCTAAGATTTACAAAGGTTTGGGCCAAGGGATCTCTCTTTCAACAGTCACTTAGGGTGGCAGGGAAGACCACGTTTATAGCATTTGCAGGGCATGCAAGGATATTTAGCCCTTCCACCTTTGTTGCTATTTTTCAGGTTCTGTGTTTTTCCCCACTGAGACTTCATTTCTCAGCTTCTCCACCTTCCATACAGTTCTAACAGCTGTGGAGAGTAAGGAAGACAGGGTGGCTGTTCTATAAACTGCTTTGGGGGAGTTCACGATGAGGTTTTATTTGATGGTCCTGCTAATAAGAGTGGCATTTTCTCGGTAACACGAGGCAAAACAAAACAGTAAGGCTGAGCCTAACAGGAATCAAGAGATAATTATGACAGATTTTGGTTAGCAGCAAAGATGAGCGAGCAGAATGAATGAATGAATGAATGAATGAATGAACGAACGAACGAATGAATGAATGAATGAATGAATGAAACAGTAGTTGCTCACTTATGGTGGCAGGGAAGACCATGTTTATAGCATTTGTTTAGCACCCACCCTTCTCCAAATTAAGCTACATTTTTTTCAGCTAATATATAAGAGGATAATCTTAATAAATACAGTAAGTAAATAAGCAAGTAAATAAATGGGGAACAACTATTTTTTGATGACTGAAACAACACATGTGATATTGCAATGCTGGTTGCACTGGGATCAATTTTTTTACAGCTATGCTTACTTATTTCCCCTCTACTCAACCATTAGTGTGTGTGTGTGTGTGTTTACATGTGTATTTCCCCTAAAAACCATTTTGGGCAAAATCCATCATCCATCTGTAGGGCATTTGAAAAGGACATGCAAGAATATTTACTTTCTATCTGAGAGCCAGGTAGTGTAGTGGTTAAAGGCACTGGGCTGGAATGTGGGAGATTGTCATTCTCTCACGGTCGCTCTCTCTCAGTGCAACCCGTCTCACAGGTTGGTTGTGAGAAAAATAGGAAGCGGGAGCATTATGTACACTGAGTTGTACAAATAATATAATATAATATAATATAAATCTATTCATCACTAACTTTCCATCTGCTCCACAGATAGATTTACAAAGGGTTTTAACACACACAGAGATATCTGTGGTGCCATACCTGCCTACTTCTCTCTTTTCTGCCCTCTAAATGCCTCCTTACAAATAATGGGTTCATTACAAGAGTCATCATCCGGAGGGTTTCAGGTGTTCTGTTCCAAATGCTCAAAATGGGAAGTGCTCTTGAACATCTAAGAATATCTTCATCTGGTGGGGCAGGTAGGGAGGATTTTGGAGGGCTGCAGGTTCATGTCACCAGAAAGGGGGAGGCTTTTTCCCCCCAAATATCTAGCCCTTCCACCTTTGTTGCTATTTTTCAGATTCTGTGTTTTTCCCCACTGAACACAATTGTGCTACTAGTAAACAGCAGTTTCCCTCTGAAAATGACCATTTGCTTTTCCAAAACTGGCCCTGGGGAATCCTGGGGACCTCCATGTGGCCTGATTTTAAAATAATGATGACTTCCTGGTCAATCTCAGGAAAATTTAGTTTGGAAATGATGGCTGGACAGCAGATGGAAGATGACTCTTTCAAAGATGGGAAAGGCTGAACGAACCTCTCATTCTTTCCCCTGTGAAAAACATTGCTGGATAATGACCTTGACTTTTGTAATGACCTTGAGTTTCATCCATACCCAGCATGACTGATGGCTGGACAAAAGGAGGAATAATCCAACTAATTTGGAGGACACCATGTTGGAGAAGACTGGTTTACACAAACTGCTGGAGAAAGAAGAGGTCCAATAGATTCTTCTTGTCATCAGAGGAAGACTCTATTACCCATTACTGGCATCCAAGTGAGTTTTTGTCTACTTGGGGGAAGAACTTAGCAGTGGCTAAGAATGGAGTATGTGTAACTTCTCATAACACTCCTTTGAAGAGCAAAAGCCTTCTTTCTGCGCCTTAGGTCTAACCAGATGTAATGATGATTTCTGCCTATAGAGGGCACTGTTGGACCAAAGGATAGCAAAATGGAAATGTTACCCAATTATATAAAGCACTGATAGATGAATCACAGATAATGGCATTTTCAGAAACAGGAAAAGAAATGCACTGATGGCTCTGAACTGTCAATCAACTTTTATTCATATAACCGTAAAACACACAGAAACACACACACACACAGAGCCCTTCAGAATACAAGATACATAATGCATCACAAAAATATATAACAGGTGCAGACAAAGTTGCCTTCAAAAGTTGCCTTTAGTTAATAAACTAAAAGACATTCTGCTAAAAATGGTTGAATGCTTGCTTTGGATGGGTGCAAAGCCCACGAATCATTTCAGGCAAAATGTCTGGGTTCACACAAAAGATGGGCCCGTTAAACCCAAGTTAACATTTAATTGCGCTGTTCACATAATGTGCTGGGCTCCACTGAATAAACCATATTATGGCTTCATGTGACAGTCAGTTTCACATATGTTAAGAAAATGACTAGATGGCAACAACATACTAACCATCTTTAACCTAGTTTTGCATGCTGGGCAAAAGTAAGCTAAACAGTAGACTTTGTACACGATGGTTAATAAGCTTGTATTTGGTTCTGCTAATTAATAGCCAGTATGAGGCAATAGTGAATGTTTTGAACTGGAAACAGACACACCCAGGTTTTAGCTTCCCTCATCCACAGATACAGCCTGGATAACTTTGGGCCAATCACCTTTTTT